ACGATGTAGTAGCATTTACTCAGGCACTTCAGTAATACAAGATGCGATTTAGGTTATTTAGATCTCACAATTGAGTCTAAAAAATACCAAATGTTGCAGAGGCAAGCCTCTATACTCGGATATATAATCGACAGCGGCATTATTAAACATCATCTTAAGAAAATCGAAGTCATTGGTGATTATCCAACACCCACGAATGAGAAGAAAGTAAAATTATTACTATGGCCAATTGGATATTATCGCAAGTTAATCAATGGATATACAAAGATTGCTAGATAATTTTCTCGGTTACCATCGCAATCGCAAATATTTAAATGGAGCGAAGAACAGCAAAAATATCAGCTGCACGATATCTTGTACAGCGAGCCACTGTTGATCGTTGTATCGGACTTGCTTTTTATTGTTACAACGGATGACTCGGGTAATGCCTTAGAAGACTACCAAGGAAAATACCCTAACCCGATTTCACCATTTTCAATGATTTTTTGATACATTGTAGTATAAAAAACAATTAGAGATACATATTTTTTATGTGGCAACATTCATTTTAAAGGCGTGTCATTCACGCCTAAAATTTACCCTTGAAAGTCCATTTTTTTATCATATTTCGTCTTCTGACAAATAGTTTTCAATAATACTAAGTGGAAAAATTTTTTGTTGAGTAGTCAAAGATTCGAGGTATATACGTAAGGCAAGGGGTTCCAACTTTTATTTTATATTCAATAAATTATATTTTTTATGCTTCTTTTCATTATAAAAATCATAATTTGAGCTCAGAAAAAGAAAAACGTTTCCGTTTACTCCATCGATTACACAGGTTCTCAAACAAAAGTATACGTGCGGTCAGAAAACTTGAACATTATATTTTTATGGTAGCTAAATCCAAATGCGAGGTCCATTTTACTCACTTAAAGTCAAAGTCAAGTCCGGTGAAAGTCAGAAAATCTACTACCAGTAAAATATACAAATATGTTTATTGCAACGGTAGTCGATTCGATAAATCGATCCGTTCGCGATTCGTGCACTAGCGATGTTAGTTTGAACGACTAAGAGAGAGACGGGGCGCGCCAGAGTTTGAATAATCAGTTAAGCCTCAGCTGCTTTTAAGAGAGTGCCGCCAATTTAGTTTGCATAGTGTATTGCCGTTTTGCTAACAGTTCTTTCCTGGATTTTTTGGATTTGTATGAGTGAAAGCTAGCAGCATCACAGCAGCAGCAACAGAGTAACAGCAGATATTACGAGGGAGGCAGCGCAGCTGATATTCAAGGAGCATCGACCGTTGATTCTCATCAACAATTACGGCTATTCACCGTAATTGCACCGCAGGGTAGGTGCACATGCACATTTCGAAAAACCTGTGAGTGTGAGTACGGTAAAGAGACGTTTGCGAGAGAAAGGACTTTTTGGTCGAGTTGCCGTTAAGAAGCCACTTCTACGATGTGTAAATAAAAAGAAACGCTTACAGTGGGCAAAAAGTCATAAAAATTGGACTATTTCTGATTGGAAAAATGTTCTGTGGTCTGACGAGTCAAAATTTGAAATTTTTGGAAGTAGAAAGAGAATGTATGTAAGAAGACGGGTTGGTGAGAAATATAATAGTGATTGTTTAGTTCCAAGTATGAAGCATGGTGCTGGTTCAGTTATGGTATGGGGCTGTTTTGCTGGATCAAAAGTAGGTGATATTGTGAAAATTGATGGAATCTTAAAGAAAGAAAGTTACAAAAACATTCTACAAAGGCACGCTGTAACATCAGAAATTCGACTAGTGGGAGCACAATTTGTGTTTCACCAAGATAACGATCTAAAACATACATCCAAATTATATAAAAGTATCTCTCAAATTTAGAAAAGAAAAAAAAATTCAAAGTTATGCAATGACCAGCCCAGTCGACTGATTTGAATCCCATCGAACTGCTATGAGAAGAGCTCGATCGAGCAGTGAGAAAATCTTGCCCAAGCTCTGCAACTAATTTATGGGAAATTTTACAAAGAGAATGAAAGAATCTCCAAGAAACTACATTGGACAAACTGGTCGCAAGGATGCCAAGAATATGCAAAGCTGTTATCAAGCATAAAGGAGGGCACTATGATGAAAAAAAAGTTTAATTTGTGTGATACAAGTTCTAGTTATTGTAAGTTTATGTTTGTTAATAACAAAGTGACTATTGTTACGTATTATTGTTATAAGACGATGCATTTATTTATTCTAATTTTATTTATTTCGAATGATATTTAGCAAAAAATTTGGTTCATCGTCCTATCGCATTTGGTTACTTTTGTTTATTTTTTGTTATCTATTTTCTGTTGTCTATTTCTATATTATGACATTCTACTAAAAACACGCTAGAATCAAATCCAGAGTGAAATAGCAGATAATCTACAAGTTTTAGACTAAATGAAACTTACGTAAAGTTATTATTTCAAATAAATAACTTTTCAGATTAAGCATGTACGAGGGTCGTTTGAAAAGTCCGTGCAAAAATAGAAACTGCTTGATTATTTTTAATAAATCTTTTTTATTTTTCAACATAGTCTCCGTTTAGGCTTATACACTTCATCCAACGCTGCTCTAGTTTGTTAATCCCTTCCAAATAATAGGATTTGTCCAAGTCTGTAAAATAGGCATTCATTTCTGCAATCACCTCCTCGTTTGAATAAAATCTTTTCCCCGCCAGCCATTTTTTCATATTAGGAAACAAATAGTAGTCCGACGGAGCCAAGTCTGGAGGATAGGGGGGATGTGAACGAGTTGGAACCCTATCTTCATCAGTTTTGCGGCACCAACTGCTGAGGCGTGAGCTGGCGCATTGTCGTGGTGGAAGAGGACTTTTTTGTGGGCTAATCGCGGACGTTTCTCTAGCAACTCGGTTTTCAAACGATCCAATAACGATGAATAATATTCGCCTGTAATGGTTTTACCCTTTTTCAGATAGTCGATGAAGATTATTCCTTGCGAATCCCAAAAGACAGTCGCCATAACCTTCCTGGCCGAAGGAATTGTCTTCGCCTTTTTCGGAGCAGATTCCCCCTTGGTAACCCATTGTTTAGACTGTTCTTTGGTCTCACGAGTGTAGTGATGTATCCATGTTTCATTTACAGTGATAAAACGACGCTTAAAGTCTTGCGTATTTTGCTGCAACAGCTGCAAACCATTCTTGTAACACTTCACACGATCGTTTTTGGTCAATCGTAAGCAATCGCGGCACCCATCGAGCGGATAGCTTTTTCATGTCCAAATGTTGGTGCAAAATATTATGTACCCGTTCGCTCGAGATGCCTACAGTACTAGCAATCTCACGCATCTTCACTCTTCTGTCAGCCATCACCATATCATAGATATTATCAATGATTTCTGAAGTGGTAACCTTAACAGGGCGTCCAGAACATTCAGCGTCTTTTGTGCTCATATGGCCACTCCGAAAATTTTGAAACCACTTATAAGCCATTCTAATCGAAGGTGCACAATCGCCATAATGTTCATCAAGCTTCTGTTTAATCTCCTGAGGCGTTTTGCCTTTGAAAAAGTAATGTTTAATCAATACACGAAATTCTTTTTCGTCCATTTTTTTACAACCACTCGATATCTTTGATTGAAACGAATGTAAAACGCAAAGTAATTGGCCGATCTGGCTGAAACTTGGTGTGTGCTCTTCCAAGATATGCCACTAACTAAAAATAACCTTGATACGCACTAGTAGCGCCATCTCTCTGACTTTGCACGGACTTTTCAAACGACCTTCGTATTGCGCGACATAATACTTTCTAAAGTATTTTGTCATTCGTGAGCGTAATTTTTGTATTCACGCCGATCGTTAGATTTCGCGGCAATTTTCGAATTTTCTCTCTCTCTCTCTTACCGAATTATAATTAATAATTGTGAATCTTATTCGCGTGCGTTAGTCTTTCGACTCATAAAAGACTGTAGTTTTTTGTTAATTAAACTTTGTTAATTTTATTCGCCGTTTGCGTCATTTCCTTTCCTATTAGCTTAATAGATCTATAAAGGCTTAAGTCTTAATCCGATTTCTTCTAGGGGATTAGACAGATTAGTCATTAAGTCATTCATACTGAAGATAGATCGAGTGTCACAAGTCAAGTGACTTAAGGTGAGTTCAACTCGGTTGGAAAGAAGACACGTAAACGAAATCACCAAACGTAAAGGCGAATAAACGTATAACTCTACGTGTTTAACGGAGTGATGGTTAGCTTTACATCGTGGGAGTTTGTGCTTCAATAAATTTCTCATTTTTGTAGGATAACCACCCCGTTACATTATATATCTTTAGCCCGTTGAATCCGATTCTCTCGTTAGAATAATCAGATTATAACAATTTAAATAAATAATTGGATACTTATGTAGATATTTATGTAGATAATTAGATGTTTATGTTAATAAACATCGAATTATAAATAATTAGATATTTATGTTATTAAATAAATAATTAGATAATAATATAAATAATTAAATGTTTATGTTCTATCTGCTGTAGTATTGTTTTGTCATTTCTTTTATGTCTTGGTAAAATCATTTCTTTACTGAAATCCCCTAGAATAGTTGGAAAATAATCTAAACGTGAATGAAAAAAAATGCAACTTCAGGTTTATTAAACAGCTTAATTTTTCGTAGCTTTTAACTAGTTTTTCTTACTTCGTAATTTCGTTTTTTATTGTTTCCTAAAATGTTTTTAACGACTTCTTTGAAACTATCCCAAGCAGATTTATTAACGTAAATTATTGTGTTAACAATAAAATGATAAAAATTTATCATTTTATTATTTACTATTAAAGGTGGGCTGTAGGAGGGGGGGGGGTTTGCGACTAGGACTTTGGGTGTCGTCGGAAGGCACCATCCACTCTCTGATTACGTACGACACTTGTCGATAGAAATAATTTTTATTAATAGTTTGTCTGCAATTCTTGCACTGATTCCATTTTTCCATACACATCCTTCTTATTATAACTAATGAATGATATCTAAATGTTCTACTATTTTGTTGCAGATTGATTCTAAAAATGCAGCATCATTATTGGATTACTAAGCAAACTCTTTCTCAAAAGTTAGGACGTAAAGAAGATGAGTGCATTGTTGCATCAGATGCTGAATTAGATACTAAGTTAGAATTACTTCGTAACATTCAAATATCCTGTACATTAATTCAAAGGATAATTGAAAAATATCAAGAATCTGTTTGCTGTAAGTGAAGAATATCTACCATCGAATATGATATGTCTTGCATTTTTTATTGTATTAAAGTATATCTAATATTATTCTATGAAAAATTTTAAAGATTTATTGATTCAGATGTTTTTCTTAAGCTGTGTAGACCCGTTACGACTCCTATAGATGTAGCTGGATCATACATATTATGGATCTAGGATTGTTACCTAGGGTTAAATTGATACTACTATTGGTTCGAAAATGATAGTCACCTTATTTTTCTCATAACTATGCGAAAAAATTGCATAAATATATGGAGTTGAAGATTAAGGTTTTGTGCATTGAATGATTCATTATCCGTCTGTTTGGAACAATTAGTAAACTTTTGGCACAGATCAAAAGAAAAAAATACGAATTTTTAAGGTATGATCCATACGGACAACTTTTAGGTCTGCCGTTTCGTCACAAAAAAAATCAAAATGACCCTCACAAGGACATATCAAAGTCACATGCTAAAAAACACTATGTAATAATAAAAATACTGTGTAAAAAATACTGTATAATGTAATAGCATTTTCTGATAGAATAATCGTGATTGATGTACTTCCACGAGAAATAACTTAAGAACTCAATAATCCAAATAACCCAATAACTCCAATAACTTATAAGCTAGAATATCATACAATTTAAAAATAATATTAATAATAAATTAAAAATAATATTCAACAAATATCATCATCTAACAGAAAATAGAAATCCACTCAAAAAATCATAGTTTCAAAAAAAATTATCGTTCAAAAAATCCTCGTTCAAAAAAATCTTAGCTCAAAAAAATCATACTTTAACAAAATCATAGTTGAACCAAAACCTGATCATGGCTAACTATGGTCCGAATGATAATGTCGATATGATAATGATCCTACGGGAATGTTGAAACAATTACCATGCAGTAGCTTGACTGTATGCTGAACGTTATCTTTTGAGGGGGCATCCTAATCACGCGAGAATATGATAATTGACTGAAAGAGCCCAAGATGGACATCTTGTTCGTCAACGAAAGCATCGCGAATACGACGCAAATGATCCTCTTGCTGTAAACGTCCTAGCAGCTGTTCATCTTATTTCGCACGTAAACAGTCGGCAAATTGAAAAGGAAATCGGTATACTACGAAGGACGGCTTTGAGAATTTTAAATGCTCTCCATTACTATCCTTACCACATAATTTTGGTTCAACGATTAAGGCTGAATCACATTGAAGCCCGTGTCTAATTTTGCCAGTGGGTTTTAGAATCGATAGAAAATCACCCAGACTTTTTCAGATATGTTCCGTTTTCAGATGAGGCTAAATTTTATAGTGATGGTCAACTAAATACCATTTTATTTATTTTGTTATAATATATCTACTTAAAACTTCACTTGCGAGAGTCCTATTCGTGTCGCGCCAAGGCCAAGGACATAGCGATAAGACGTTATGGTCAGCAGTAACCGTGTGCGCGCCATAGTGGGAATAAGTGGGAGAAGCCGAGCATACTGCTGCAGCATGCTGCATTCAGCGTGTTAGGCTAGGAAACATGAAGCGATGAAAAATGCGTAAATCAGAGAGAGACAGAGTGTAAGGAATGAGAGAGGGAAACGAAAAGGCACAGACGAATAGTGAGAGCGAGACCCGGCAGTTAGGAGTGAGCGCTCAACTAAGAAGGCTGCATTTTTTCCTACTATAGTAAAATCTATATCTGAGAATATCAGAGTTTGAGAATATCAGAGTTTGAGAATATCAGAGTTTGAGTTTTTAATAGAATATTAAAAGTGTCGAGTACAATCATTTCGATAATTTCTGTTTTTATATAAACGAAAATCATAAAAATCATCCCTTTATTGTGTGTTGCTATATTATTGGATAAAAAGGGTAAATTGGACCAGTAAATTTGACCAGATTCGAAGGAAGATGTTACCCACAAAACCAATCAAATACTACTGTGGGCAAAAAGTAAGGTGAATTTGTTTGTAAAATGAAAAATCTTTATTTATTCTTCTATATCAATGTCATCCCCTTCGAAGTAATCCCCTCCCGATAAAATACACTTATGCCAACGTTTTTTCCAATCCTCGAAACATGCCAAATAGTCCCTTTCCGGTATAGCCATCAGCGCCTTCTTCGATTCAGCTCTTATCTCCTCAATCGACTCGAAACGCGTTCCCCGGAGTGGTCTCTTGAGTTTTGGGAATAGTCAGAAGCCACACGGAGCCAAATCAGGCGAATACGGTGGTTGCGGAACGATATGCGTCGAATTTTTGGCGAAATGGTCACGAAGAACGAGTGCAGTGTGAGATGGTGCATTATCGTGATGCAAAAACCAAGAGTTGTTGGCCCATAATTCTGGTCTTTTTAGACGAATTGCTTCACGCAAACGACGCATAACGCTCAAATAATATTCCTTATTAACAGTTTGGCCGGATAGAAGGAATTCATAGTGCACCACACCACGAAAATCGAAGAAAACTGTCATCATGACCTTGATTTTTGAACGACTTTGACGTGCTCTTTTCGGTCTGGCCTCGCCTTTAGCACGATATTCGCTTGATTGGTCGGTTGTTTCAGGGTCGTAAGCATAAATCCAAGTCTCATCTCCCGTAATCATGCATTTGAGCTTGTCCTGATAGTCAGAAAGCATTGTTTCACACACATCAACGCGGCGACTTTTTTGCAAGAAATTGAGCGTTTTCGGTACCAAACGAGATTTGACTTTTCGTAGGCCCAAATGGTCTTTCAAAATTGTTTTCACAGATCCTTCTGATATTCCGATCATATCAGTAAGGTCTCTAACAGTCAACCGACGATTTTCGAGCACTAATTCCTTCACTTTATTGACGTGTTGGTCATCTGTTGACGTCGATGGTCGTCCGGAGCGCTCCAAGTCATCAACACGTTCTCGACCCTCTTTGAAGTCTTTGTACCACTTATAAACATTTTTCTGCAACATGGTAGAATCACCAAAGGCCTTCCGCAACATCCTCAACGTTTCCGCAGCCGAAATTTCATTCCGCAAACAAAATTTGATGGCACTTCTTTGCTCAATTAAATCAGACATTGTAAAAATCGAAACATGCACTCTTGGTCGTTTGGTAAACACAAGCGTAAATATATTACTGATGATGACATTGACATGAAATTTGTCCCAGATGTCATTCGCAGTCCTACCAACTCAAGAAAAAAAGAACTAGCCCGAAATGTTAAGCCCGCGAAGTTTAAATTGAAAATTCACCTTACTTTTTGCCCACAGTAGTAATACTTGGACGAATTGATATTTATTTTATGAATACAAAGTGGGTACCATTTTTTTTATGTAATAAAAAAATAATAGACAACGCGAGGCGGAAGTTACGGATCTAAATATCACTCTGTCTCTCTCTCTCTCTCTCTGTGGTTCGAGACCGAACATTAACACCCTAAACAGTGAGTGCTTGCCAGGCGTGGAGGTGCGGGACGGGGTCTTCGTTCCTTTTCGAGATGAGGTGGTCAGTCTGGGTGTGACGCTGGACAGCAAGCTGTCTTGGCGGCAGCATATAGACCAGGTGGCCAAAAAGGTAAATAGGGCGCTGTACAGCTTGCGCTTTATCAGGGCTTGCACAACTTCATCACTTAGACGGAGATTGGTCGAGTCCCTGATTCAGCCGCATCTGGACTACTGCGCGGTCGTGTGCCTGGATGCGAGCAAGGAACAGCTACAAAGGCTGCAGAGGCTCAGTAACTCCTGCATCAGGTATATCTTTGGTGTCAGGAGGGATGAGCACATAACTCCTTACAGGAAACGGCTTGGCTGGTTCCTCTCCAATTCTCGCAGAAATTACTTTTTGGCGGTACTGTTGTACAAGGTTCTGCGAATGAGGGAGCCACAGTACCTATTCCATTTATTTGCCTTGCACGTGTCCAGGTACCCGGGGAGGGGCTGTAGCGAGAGGGCCGAGCTGAAGGTGCCATCGGTGAGCACTGAGGCTGCACTAAGATCATTCGGGGTCGCGGGGGCGCAATACTGGAACTCCCTTCCTCAGTCGCTCCGGCAGCTTCCGACGCTTGCCTCATTCAAGGTAGCGGTTCGGGGGTACATCCTGAGCCTAGACAGTGGTCCGGAGGGTCGGGGTGGAGTGGCCAACGGTGTGGCCGTACGGGCCGACTAGTGTTTTTGACTCGGCAAACTTAGCCTCGATTAATGTAACTCCTGACTGTGCAATCAGCACTTAAAACATCAAACACCGGAGTTTTAGATAGAAATCAGCAAATGAACAGCACGTCGTCTCATCTGTTGGCTGTTAATTAGTATGTTATATGACTGATTTTACTTTGTTTTATTTTATTTTATGTTGTATGACTAATCAATTTTTATGTTATACGACTGGTTTTGATTTTATGTGTATGACTCATTCTAATTTTTATGTATGTGACCTACCAAAACTTTATGATATGTGACTTACTGGAAATTTTATGTCATACGACTTTAATTGCTGACATGTTATAACTGTACTATTGTTATTAGTTACACTACATTTGTATTGTAACTAAATTTGTAATTTTTACCGTGGAGTAAATAAAGTTTGTTCTATCTATCTATCTATCTCTGTCTCTCTCTCTCTCTCTCTCTGTCTCTCTCTCTCTCTCTCTCTCTCTCTCTGTCTTTGTCTCTCTCTCTATTTTGTTTAATTTATTTTATGTTATGAAACTAACTAGAATGAATTTTATAAATATAAACGTCTTTAAATTGATCCATATGTTTCCCCGTCATAATAAAGAAAGCTCTATTTACATTTTTTTTTCTTTTTAATAAACGAGTGAACATTTTTACAAACATTAGATTAATTATTTTACAATCGTGATATCGAGATCCGGATTTCGATTAATAGGAATTGCATTATTGACGCGTGAACGGTCCGGGGTGCATGAAAGCCTGAGTGCCGCCCGAGTCTAAGGCCGCTCGGCTGTTAGAAAGGCCTACATACGGGATAAATTCGCCTCGCGCGAATTGCCACCTATCAACTGTAG